GGGGGGGGGTACGGGCATTTTAAGCATACATCGTGCTCGCGGATCCGGTGGAAGAGAAGGTCATCCTCCAATGGCCGTTTATTTGTTTCCATTTGCCTCTTATAATCGTGTAACACACTTATAATATCAAATAAACCCATCCATAAGGAAGCGTTTCCTAAAAGTCCTTAGGAGATGGTCTTATGACCGGGGATCATGGCTATAGCAGTGGAGGTTGCGTTGTTTCTGTGGTGGAGGCTGACCTTCGGGCTGTCCAAAACTTGCTCTGTAGGATCCCGTCAACACTTGGGCCGAAATGCTAGTATCCGAAGGAACGGGGGAGGTGAAGTGTTTTGGTTTGGCCTGGACGTTAGTCAAGTCAACCTAGAGCAAGATAAGCGTTATTTAACTTGATGATATACCAACTAAAATATCGGATCATTTTAGCGGATCATGAAGAACAACATTCAACCCGTTTTCGAGATATTTAAAAGAAATACTGCCTACTATTTAAGCAACAACTTTCAGAGAAAGGCTCACTGAGTGCATTTATCATTAATTGTAACCCAAAAGCAATTTCTTAAGTCAATACAATAAGTTTAATTTAATGACCCTCAGAGTCATGATGAACAAATGAAGCGCTGCTGTGAGAGTCGTGTGTAGATTTCGATGGCGCGAAAGGATGATATTTGTTTCTACCTAACAATAGTACGACAGTACGATTCAGGTTTCAGTGTAAATTTTTAGCGCTCAAACCAATGAAAATTTAACGCAAATAATTCAAGGTTAGGTTTTCGCAATTTCATTCAATGAGCACAGGTCATTTGGATACCGAGCTTACGGAACTTGGGGAAATCCAGGCAACCAACCTTGGGGATAGTCTCAAAAATCTGCAAATTGATGGAATTTTTACCAGTGACTTGAAGAGGGCTTCCTATGTATGCATGGGATTTTATTCATTTTCAATACTGGTCCAACTACTGGGACTCCCTAATATTCTGACTATTGAAACTGCGATTCTTCCCTTATTATCTAACTGCTGTTTACTGAATTGCATATTTTCGAAATCGAACTGCAAACAATACCGCTGAGTATAGCTTCTATCATATACTTCATTGTAAGTTTACCATGGTTTAGCGCTGGTTTTCATACTCTTGGCACCGATAGCCTAACCTCTGGCTTCTCCTGTGACTTTGCGCAAGTGAGCCTGCTTTCATGAATTGAAATTACGATGCGAAGATTGCTAAACTGTAATGTGGCTGGTGGAATTTTTATCATAGATCTGATTAGTATTTTAATGTAGTACAAGTAGACTTGTTTGCAAAAGATGTAACAGCAACAGGCTAATATCCAACTGATCAATCGAATGTTGTGAATCCTGTGCTTGCCAGTATTTCATAGTTTGGTCGAGTGGCATGTGCGTATTCTCTATCCCGCATTCGCTCTTTTCAAACCAGACCGGAGAAGCCATTCAGCGCAGTTACAAACGGAAACCCATCCCGTTATTCACGAATCCTCTAATGCGTGAGCGAGTAAGTACTTACATTCATTTTACACTGACTCATAGAATTTCGGCTTGAACAATGGAAGACCTAGATCAAAAGTTCATGAATTTATCGCTGAAACAAAATCCAATCACATGGGGTGTCAAATGTGGCGCGAGTATCAAGGTGAATGTAGTCATCAGGTGGGAAGCATGGTTTGAGTTAACGAATAATTTAACTGCTGAGTTTCGGATTAACTTAATGCAATGTTTACGGTTGCAATTCCATTTGCGCTTCTACTCAGTGTCTTGGGAGATATGGGCTATTCATAAGTTATAAACTTTTCAAATAACTATTTGATTTTTGAGTGATTACCAGATTTTCTGGAGGGCGCTCAACTTCTTCTTCGACTTATGCGAATTTGCTGCAAATCAACCTACCAAACCAACTCCTGATTTCGGGTCTATTGGCTCGGTGGAAAGGTTTACGGGCACAGACATTTCCCCTTTACCAATTCTGCTACCAATTCACCAGCCGCCGGTGTCTCAGGCCTTTGCTTTTTCGCGACGCCAACCTCGAAACAAATGCGCCTCTTCGTCTACTGAAGAGATTTCTCATGAAATCATGGACTATGCCGGCCACTTTATTTTGGTGAGTTCTTCGACCGCCCTCTTAAAGCCACGCTTATCATCAATTGCACGGCATTAAAAAAACTTAAATTAATTTATAAACATGCATCACTGAGGGACATCCTATTTATAAATTGTCCTAATTAAGGCGTATTTTTCGGAATTTATCCATGTTTTCGATGTCAAGGGTAAATCTTATTGTTTTCAAAAAGCCCTTTTACTCCAGCTTTGGCTTCGTGTTCCATCTCGAGTGAATACCTAAAAAAGCTTTCAAATTTTATTGTTAGTCAATAAATTTAAAATGGCACAACTCTGATCGTCCTCGGTGACCAAGCCTTAACGCTGGAAGTTGATATTTTTTAGGTAAGTCATGGACAGTGGATTCGCGAATTCAATCACATTCTCTATGCCTTCTCGGAACACAGCCTCGGTTTCCCCGCTCAGCGTCAAATGCTAGCAGTGCTAGAGAACTGCCAGTTCAACCAATTTGGAGTTGCTGTTCACTGCAAGCAGCTGGCCACACGAGCTACTCGTCTGCGAGCCGCAGTTGGATCAGCCCTGAAGGCGGCACGAGACTGTCGTTCCCACTCTTGTCCCTATGATCTTGGCCATTTTGCCGACCCACTCCCCATTGACACCGTCTGTTACCACGCTCGTGTTGACGCCCACACAGTTAAAGGAAGTATTACTACTGCGCCCGCCGTGGAGACGGTAGAGGAGAAGCCTGCTGTCTCCGCATGTTCTGGTACAGAAACGCTCTTCTTTGCTCGGGAAGACGATGAATATGCCGGACTACCAATGACCAGGTGGGTAGACCAAAATTACCTCCGAACATTCCACGAACCTATTGAGTTAGCTCTCATAGTATCGCCTATTGTGAAGCTATAATCCTTTAACTTCGCTTTGATTGCCTGTTTTTCAGAGTGGAGGTTGTATTCACAACACAGTATACACGAAATGTGAAAAGTCAAAGATCTACACATCATTCGTAGTAGGGACTACCGTCAAGATCCTCACTCATCTCATACATTTGCACATTGAAATCATCGATGTCTCCCTCACCGTTGTCAAAATAGGTTTCGCAGTAGTCATCACCCTCCTCCTCTTCTTCCTCCACTGGCTCTCCGTTCCACCGCCCATCCTCAGAGTCCTTATCTTCCTCTTTCTCTCCCTCGACAGGCTCATCCGCCCCTTCCTTCAACACGTTCCCCCCATCATCGTCTATAATTAAAAAATAAACATCAGCTCTAGTAATCCATTTTATGCATTTCCATTTTTTTTTGTAAATACGATAGAACTTTGATATTACTCAACAATTCAGTGCAAATAATCATCTCATTTTTCAGGTCTCAGAGTTCGTAACCAAATGCAACAAGGAATCAAAATCTCATTGTCTTGTTTTCCTTATTTTTCGCTTTGCTCCATTAAAGAATTGCGACAGCAGCTGGCTATTGATTCTTCACTATTGACTCTTGTGACTGAGTAGTGCAACTTAGATATAAGCATTTAACCAACTTTAATGCTTCCGTTGACAATGATAGTAGACATTTACCTTCGTTCATATCGGTAGCATCGAGCATAGCCTGGCCTGGCATCAACTCATTTGGACGGTCGCCATCGACCATCTTTGAAGAGTCATCATACCTAGTGTGCTTTGTTGAGCCTACGACGGTGGAGGATTTCCTTTTTAACTTGTCAGTAAGCTCGCTTGGGTACCTTTGGAAAGCAATAAGATGCTACAGGACAAACTTTAACACTTCGATAAAGTACGCGAATACCGAGGATGCTGAACTAACCATTCAGGATGTTTTGGGAAGAGGGAGAGAATATTGCTGTCCCAGAAAGCTATCTCGTCCGTTTTCATGAGGAGATGAGCAATAGAGGAGTGTACGCTCGAGGCTGATGGTGCTGTGAGTCTTGCAGAGTTTGAGCTCTCCACTTTAGACGACAGTTTCCGCTTTTCCAATGAGTTTTCCAAGGCATAATCTACAACAGCTTTGAGTGCGAACTGTCAGCTGCCATAAGCTGGAAATTCCACCTACCAACTGGAGTTGGAGATCTTTTTCTGAACCCTTTTCCGGTTTTCTATGAGATGAACTGGGATCCAACTGCGACAAAACTGAGGGAATATGAGGTTCGGTAAACGAAAGCGGGATTAGCCGGCCAACTACCGCTCGAGGGTCGGGAGGGACAGGCACAATAAACGGGTCAAAAAGTCTTCGTCTCACACTATCGCGAAGGTTTGCAAAACTCGAACTCCCACCGCCGCGACGTCTACCTCGATTCATGATTCTGTAAAAGGCATTCAAATTTTGAAACGGCCTGCGATATAAATAGACACTGAAAACGCGGTAGTAATAAACCTGAGGATTTTATTTACACACTTAAGTACAGTAAGGGCCGGGGAATAATGACTAATCGTCTCTTCGAATGAGGGTGTTGGCACGTGCTGCTCTCGCCTTGCGGAGCTCCTTTCTTTGCCGTTTTTTCTCCAGGCGTGCCTGATGGATGCGGATAAGATCAGATTCCGAGTTAGCAGTATCACAAGTCATTTTGGGAAGCTTCAGCTTGGAAAACCGCTTGTCTTCAGCTGCTTCCTCCATCTCTCGGATGATTATTGCCTGCTTCTCTTCTGTCTTGACAGCGGCTTGTGTGCTAGGTAGAGAGACAAATCTCGAGTGTGGGGTATTTGTATTAATCTTCTCTTGAATTTTCGCAAACAGCTTGCTTGAAACGAAGTATCCGTGCATGTATGCGCGTAAGAAACGAGTTCCGATAAGATCCATCATACCGCACTCAAGTAGCTGCTGTCTCGTTAGAAATTTGTACCCGTCATACATGGTCATTACATCAGGTTCAACTTCAGTTATTAGCTGGTCGAGATAACTGCACCAATATGGTGCTTCTCCAAGGAGGGGTATGAAGTAGCGCGAAACTTTCGGTGATTCGTTTGCAAGCATAATAAGCCCACTATTAGGGAAGTGATACATCCAGTTTATATCGAAGGGCCCGGTCTCGAATCCCACAAAGGCCTTGCCGGTATCAATGTTCCATATTTTTAGGCAACGAGCGACCACTGCTAGCACTTTGTCATCATGAAAACTGATCGTCTTAATTGGCCACCTATATTCCGAGTCCCTAGTGTGCCAAGGACTTGCCGTTTGACGGATGTCATAAACGTGTAGAAGACCCTCGGCTGTGCCAACAGCAAAATTGAGCGGATCTTTGTGAGTAAGGTTTGAGCAGGGAAAACGGACAAAGGCGCTCAATTCTGGTGGTCTTGGAGCTGAAGAGCATACATCCAGGTTGAAGACCCATTCCCCACTTCGCAGATCCCAGCCCTGCACGGTGCCTCTAGTTGTACCAGAAAGAAGAACATCAAGTTCTGACATGTAACAGCTTGAACTATAGCTGTCGGATAGGTTGGAGGAGGATGATATCAAGGGGGCGACAAACCTGCCTTCGCATAAATCCATTCGGTAAACAGAGTTGCCTGTGGACGGAATAAGGAGGTGACATTTGGAAGAAGTGTAATGTATATCGACACCAGGTCGTGGAACTCTAAAGCGGAAGTAATGACCACCAGCTGCATGCACATCAATCCAACGATCCTCTTCTAGTAGCGCAAACTTTGAGTAGTCATCGCTCAAGCATGTCATTCGTGAAGGGAGATAATCGACACATCGATCAAATTTCATAGAGAGATTTCCAAGCTCATAGCAGCGAACTCGAGGCTTATAACGACCAAGAAGGAAAAGGTATTTCTGGTCCGGTGTACAGGTTATGAACGTTGACGCGTCCGGCATCTCTAGTTCATGAATCAACTCGATGTGACTTTCAGCTCCTGGATCCTTCGCCCAAAGTTTCCGTTTTTCGGCCCTTGAAGCCCATTCCGGTAAGGATCTATCAGTCGTTAAGTTATAGACTTTCACACCATTCAGCTTAACGACGTTCATCTTGCCTGATCACCCGCAAATGCAGAAAAGCATATTTTAACACATAGTGAGTCAGGCTTAGCATCAACGTCATCGTAGTTCGTTGCAAGAAGTTCCAAAGATAATGGAGATGGAAGGTTAAATTTGTCTCCACGTATTTTCAAAAATTGTGAAACAAATAGCACACAAAGAGATTGTAATGATAATTATAATTAGTAAATGCATTCAAAAGCTGCAGGTTGGAAGTCAAGATTTAGGTGATTAAAGAATAGTGGAAACTAACTTTTTATAATGGAACAGCCACTAATGTGTTTAAGTTGCCTTTTGAATGATGCCTGATAAACCTCTCCAACGAATTCTCTTTTGAAGTCATAGGTTCAGATGTCTGCGGGTTGGCTAGGAGGACCTATAGTTTTATCAAAACTCCAGTTGTTAATTTTAAGGTATGGCTATGGCTGCAAGTTGTTCAAGCACCTAAGAAAAAAGTACTCTGCTAGCATGAGGACAACATGGGAAGCTTATATCTGAGACGGAGTTAAGGGACCCGGCTGAAGATCGACGCATAGGAGCTATGTTTTAGCTTCAGTTAAAGCATAAACTTTTAAATTGGTACAGCCGTGGTATACAGATCATGGGTTCTGGTGTTTATTATCTCCGAATTGTTTTAAAGCTGAGTGGGAGAGTTAGATGAGGACAAAAATGGGTTTCGCGCCCTGAGATATTTTACCATAGAGAAGCACGAATTTCGACTAAATAATGCATTCAAGAATGATGAAAATGGGTTCTGTGGAGCCCCACCATATCCCACCAAGTAGAAGAGACCATCGCACTGGACCGAAAACATATTCCTACAGTAGTAGAAGGGATAGGACAAGTCAGGACAATTACAAGGTGACCGCTAGACATCGCGCGGTCACATGCACAAAGGGTTCGTATGTTCATCTGGATTCAATCCGCTAGGTAGTTCAGAACAGGAAACGTTACGTTTTAACTTAGTTGATGCTTTGGCTGTTAATCAAACAAAATCGATACATTCTATGTTGTTGGATAGATGTTAAAATAAGTGCATTGTCCATATCCAAAGTGGAAGCGAAACCAATGGAAAGTAAGGGATCCGTATCATTTTAGACATTTCATATGATTGAATAAGTTAGTAAGCGTAATGCTTTGTTTGTGCCGCCACCTGACGTTTGTCTGGCTCTTGTATTCGAGAACTAACCTTCGGGCCATGCTGAGGTCCAGTTGCTTTGTCCTCATTGGAATTCGTGTATCCAGCTTCACATTCTGCCTTCTTTTACCCTATGGGAAGTCTCGAGACTCTATATTAGGTGAGCTAGAGTAATCTCAGACGCAAGAAGGCGATGAGGTAGTGGTTAAGTGCGGTTTAAAGGTGGGCTCGGAGGCCGAGAGGACTGCCAGTCAATCAGTTTACTAAATAAATAAACAAGTTCAACCATGATTACGAGCAAATCACTTTGAAGGCAGGACTCAAAAATATAAACGCGGTAAAATTTTTACGCTCGATAACCCAAATGTGGAGGTTTTGCCTCCACTACACACAAACTTCGATACATGCATGCAATATAACTCAATCAACGCAGAACGTAACGCTAATTCTCGCATTAAGTTGCAAAGTTCAAGTGATTGATGTCATAGTTCAGTATTACGATCGGTACTCACGAGTTATTGCCTACAAAGTGTACCTGTAATGTACTTTAAATGTTTAAATTGTTCTTTGTAGACAAGAGGCGCGAGTCCAATTCGAATTCTGTACAAGGACACTTCGGAGGACTAGCTTGTATGATTAAGGGGAACCCCTGCCTCTGCTGATTGCACCTACTTAGCAATGCCCAATACATCATCATCAAACAATCCCCTTCCAGGGAGACTGAGATGAAGGACGGAGAGAGGAGAAGGGTGCCACAGTAACCGAGAATTGTAATATACACTGGAATGTTTAAGTTGATCCTAGTAACAGAGGGGCGGGAACAAAATATTAGGACGTGAATACCGTGCTCAAGGACCGTGAGGGATCCCTCTCCGGGTGATATCTGTACTTTCTGTATTCAATGCTTAATAAACTTACTGCAATTAACCCTCTATTGAAGTCGTGGTTCAAGAGCATGAGGGTAGGTAGGCAGTGCCTGCAAGAGTGATGACTAGATAAAAGCGCGGGATCATATGCTGGACATTTAACTCAATTCAGCTAAGGACTCTTTTAAGTCGTCGCAAAAGTATAGTTTTCAGTTGAGCTGTTCCTTCCGTTTCCCACAGCTAATGTTTGGCAAATTGAAGGTTGTACAAAGGATTTTTCAACTGCAAAAATGCAAGAATACTTAATTTTTAAGCAAGAGAAAGTGACTTTTCATACAACATCTCAAGCAATATTTTGAGTGCAGGGTCGTGAACTACACATTGTCTACAGACATTAGCGTCACACCATCCTGCCTTGCGTCACTGCGCATTTTTATTAGACAGTTTTGATCAAATTTAACTCTCACACATACTTCTTTTAGAATTCATATTTTGTCTCACGACGTTAATTGGACTGCCGATATAGTATAGCCCACATTGTTATTTGGATGGCGTCGGCTAGGGAGGACCTGCTTGAAGTTACATCTTCGGGGGGCGAGTCCCGGTTAGATGCTCGTCAGTTATCAGCTCTTGCGCATTTCAAAGTATGATTTGGGTCCTTTGATCTGAAAAGTAGGATATATCTGGCATTAATGAAGATGATGTGGCGAAAAATATTCTGGAGTCAAGTAGTTGGGATCTTGAGGCAATTTATTTTCTTTTTGACCTGGGTTTTAGAGGGCTGTCCATAGTTTTATGGGTTATGGTGATCCGAGCGATCAACGAGTGCGCAGAAGAAACTTACCCCCTCCTACGGTAAGCGGTACAGTTATCCTTCACTCGTAGGTCGACATCTCACCGCAAAATCAACATGTTTATTATGCTCCGCGAGGTCGGCTTCCGTGGTACATACAATTTTCCTCGTTTTTGTTTGTACCACTTCGCTTTGCATGCAACTTGTTCTGTGATCTGTTCCAATTTCTATGTAAGTCGAAGTATCCTTGCATCAAGGTATGTTGACTTCCCTCCTAGCCATTTTTTACTCATCCTGCTATGTTACGGGTTTATGTACTTTTCCTCTCTCTATAATGTATACTTTATGTAAAACATGCAACAGTACCACTATTATTCCTCCGTGTATTTCTGGAACTATTTCGTCAACCACATTTTTTCCTAATTTTAGTGTCTTTCATTTGGTCAGACCCTCGTCGTTGTAAGTCTTTTGCAGTGAGGTGATTTTTCGTAGGAACTCCAACATTCAATTCGTATTCGCATTGTGACGACTTACCGTCGCTTATCACTCATAATTTGTTTAATGTTTTTTTCACTTTGCGGTCATTTTGCTGTATACTTGGCACTAAGTTGAATTTTCTTAAACAGCTCAGCCATTTGGGTTCTGTGCTGATTGATTGCAAACATTGATCCTATGGACTTAATTTCCTTGTGTTCACTTCTAAAATTTGTGTATTATTTCTTAGCAGTAACCGATCCTGCAGTCGATGTTCGCAAATTCATTGACGATTTTAAGAGGCGATATCTGCCTCTTGCTCATGAAGGTCAGAATGAGAGTGATGTAGATGTGGTAACGCGTTCATTACCTGTACCTCCTTTCTATAATGGTACCTACGGTGAGGCTCTGAGGGAAGCCAAGCAAAGTTTGCGCTTCTTAGTCATCTACCTTCATGCCGAATCGCATGAGGATACGGATGCCTTTTGTCGGTAAGCCGTATTACTTTGGGACCTGAATTCAATGCATTTCAACAAGAATACTGCTCTTGATCGCAATGTTAATTCCGTGTGCTTTTAGTTATACTCTTCTGGACCCGATCTTGCTGGATTTCCTTAACAACACAGAACAATTGTTGTTTTGGGCTTGCAGTGTTAGCTCTCCTGAGGGCTATCGTGTGTCTCAGATTTTGAGAGAAAATACGTATCCCTTCATCGGTGTTGTCGGTTTATCTAGTAACCCTGGTTAGTTCCATGGTGTTCTATCTTAGGTTGATAATGTTGCTAAATCTGTGAATTGTTTCGCCTAGGATTTTTGGTGTTGTCCATGACTACAGTTAAACACTATGGAAATTACTTTCCTAGCTTGCAAAACTCCGCTAATGTAATCTTCTTTTAGGTAACTTTTTTTTGCGTTAAGTTTACTCGCAGACATCCTTCGGCTCGCCCACCCGTATGGCCCTTCTTGGCCGAATTGAGGGCCTCAATAGCGCAGCCACCTTGATTCAACATCTCACGAATATAATGAATGATCACCAAGGGATTCTGGTGGCAGAACGAGTCGAAAGGTTAGCGAACCCACTTTTCCACCTGCATACAGGAAACTGAGTGCCTTGTTTCCCGTGCCTTGAATTACACCTATATGGGACACTCAACTATTCTCAGAAGACTAGTTTTATCATGATCAAAAAGGGGTTTTCCAGTCCAACTTAACATCCGAATGTCTCGAAATGCATCCATCAGCTTTTTTCGATGGACGTATAATTGACCCTAATGACTGAGGATTTTGCGGTACCGTTCACTTTGACGAAGAATCACTTTCACGAGTCCCCAACTTAGTATTGCATATCATGGGTTATTTTCGAAATGAATTGTGAATGGATTTATAATTTGGGTTGGCTACAGAGCAGAACGTGAACTGTCATTGCGCTTGCGGCAGGAGCAGGACGAGGCTTTCGCCGCTTCTCTCGCGCGAGACCGCGCAAAGGCGGCAGAGCGCGCTGCACACGCGGAAGCCGAAGCGCGCCTTGCAAAGGAGACAGCGGAGACGCAGCGTCGAGAGGAGCTTCTCACTCGTGCCCGAGTTTGCCGTCAACGTCACTGGGCCGCGTCTCTCCCTGCTGAACCATCTGCATTCGTTCCAACGGAAGTTGTTCGACTCTCCGTCAAACTACCCAGCGGACGCCGCATGCAGCGCTTGTTCTCTGTTAAGGACTCGGTGAAAGTGAGAATTTAATATCTTCGATTATGAATAGTGTTAGTGTTGTCGTCCAATGTTAATGCATCTTCCAATGTCATTTTAGCTTCTCTACTACTTCATAATTTCCCAGGAGGATGCTCCAAAACACTTCGTCGTAGAATCCAATTACCCGAAGCGAATAATCGAATGCCGTCCAGAAGAAGAAAGCGACATTGAGGAATACATTCCCAACGAGGAAAACTACGGCAACGTCGGCATCAGCGAAAACCCCTCCAAACGGATAGACGACTGGGAGCCAAAGAGTCCAAAGGATCCCCCCTCTTTCAAGGATGCTGGACTCGCACACTCAGAAATGCTTTTCATTATTGACATGGACTCTTGAAGCCTGTGTATTACATTACCCCTTCTGCCACTCCAGCTCTTTCAATTCACTTTGTTCGAGGAAATCTTATGCCACCGATTCTGGTTTGCATCTAACTCTCTAATTGCCAATTTGTTGATTTTCGCAGAGCCAAAATTTCAAGCTGTAGACGCCCGTTGCAGCTCAAAGACAGTCATCGTCCACGGTCTTGAAAGTTTTGGGCATCAGGCGCTGTATCAGGTCAGCTGCATGCCAGCAGTCGAGGGCATGCGCATAAAGACATGCAAGGTGGTTCACCGGTCTTCACAAATGCATCGGTAGGCATAAAATATCGCCGATTTAACAAATGACTCAAAAGGAATTATCGATGTGTAAGTAGTCGACTGGCTAAATGTAACCAAGACAATATAGTGAGCATCTATAGAAATGGGAAGGACCCGACAATCAACGTTAGTAAGGTGACAGGTCGTTGCAGTTCGGAGGCTAGGCTTTATTACACAATGAGCGCAGCCAACACATGACGGTGGTCAGGGGTTTGTTTCCTTTAAACTAGAGTCGATGACATCAGCAAGGTTTTTCAGGTTTTCCCATTGCTCAGCATTCAGTGAAATACCTGAAACAAGAACGAAAGTAGTCACGGGAGAGGTTCGTCTGAGAGGATTTGATCAGGGGGAGGCTACGGCAATACCTTTCTTCCCTGGTTTTAACCCACCGTCGCTCTTATCCTCATAGTACTCACGGATGTCAACCAACATCCGACCGCGAAAGGAGCGCACAGAGACGTATTTTCTGCCCGTCAGATCTATCAGTTTATCGCCATTTGCAGACTTTTCGTAAGTGAAGGCTTTGGAAGACTTAGACTGCTTGATAGGTGGTTCGCCCTAAACACAAAGTAGGTAGCACGAACGAAACAACCTCTAGGCTTGATGATGCATCAGAATCACTATTTAAGGTTGTACTCCTTTTGACACCCGACATGAAGACGGACACGACTGGATGCTGAAGAAAGTCCCGGCAAAATCGAACATCGCGGTAATCGTTCCAGCAAAAACTTAGCCAGCCCGTGGGGCTGCACTCAATTCGCTGAATTATTTAGACTGGAAAAATTTTTGAAAAAAAAAACATTATAATTCGCCATGTAAGTTTGAGGTTGATTTAATTCGAGAAAACACAAAACGATGGTAAATGAAACTTGTTACAAGTTCCTGAATTATCCCCTTAATAAAATTTATAACCATTGAATGCTTTGGGTAAATTCTTGAAAGATATAAGCTTTAGTAAAGGGAATCATATTTATAAGCACATCAGATTGTTTTGCATAAGTCTTTTAACAAACGCTCTTCTGTGATCATTTAATGCTGTAGCCGGTGCTTCGTGACTTATTTGGGCTACGAATGGCAGCCCACCCCAAGTATGTGTCACAGTCTCCTTTAAGTATCAATAAGCAAATCGCTCAAAATATGATGTTTCAGAAAGTGACCATCAATCATACAACGCCTGTTACGCAAAAGTCAGCAACGACTCTCCCGGTCGGTTGGAAGCGGGAGGAGATTCTCAGACCGGATGGACTAAGTAGTGGGAAAACTGTGGTTTTTTATGTGTCGTATGCTCGTGGGCCTTATTACTCTGTTTAGTCCTAATGGGATGAAGATTCGGACGCAAAAGGAGCTGCAAAATGCACTTGGAGATAAATTTGACATTTCATCATTTGACTGGCGTACCGGGAAGTTTTCCAGCTCATTGCTGAAGCATCGAATTCCAAGCCTTGGTGAACAACACAGCATCAAAAGTAACTGTCCGCTTTGATTACCCTTTCAGAATATAAAACTGACGACCCAGAATACGATTGGTTTCAGCGAAACACAAGTCCGAACTTCCCGAAACCCGTCATAGTTTTAAACCATAAAGATAGCAATCGGTCTGACAAGTCTCCGATAAAGGAGTCGTTGAAACAAGTAGGCTGTCTCATTTTGCACTTACGATTTAGCTATTCTCTGAGCGTCGTTTGTCTGATCGTTATGCCGTGGACCACCGTGACGGGAAAACACTAATGCGCTCTACTCTACCACCGGGGATTGAATGTAGGTTGTCGTTTCCAAGATTTTAGTATCCTCCAGCTGCTGGTGTACCCGGCTACAACAAAAGTCAATTGTTACAGAATTTGATTGTTTCACTGTCTTCAAAACATGGTCCTATAACTGGTCAAGAAAGGACAGTCGAACAGAATCCCTGCGCCATGCTAAATCAAAATCAACCATATGTAAAGGTATGAGTTATTTGTAATTTATTTCACAGTGTAGAACTTTGTCATCACTGATGAGGATATTCGTAAGCAATACCAGCGCGTGAAAGAAATCAGGGATCGCTTGCAAGCTGCTAGAAAAGTATGACTTGCATTCCTCTTTATTGGCCTCCTACAGGTGGCTTCAGGCGGACATCAAGTCTAGTGTTCCAAACTTTGCGATGATTTGGGTACCTCTAGTACCTTGTACATACTACTTGTTCACATTATGCAGTAGGAAATAGAAGTTTGTGTACCAAGACCTTAGTCACCAACCATCAGGCTTCTTAACATAGTTCGTTTGAACAAATTCCAGGAGATGGGGATATGCGCTATCTGTGCTCACAGGGTTTGGTAACAACGAGTTGATAAGGACGATTAATTTATGTCAAAAAAGCCTAAACAAACTGAAAATGTTGAAGATAGGCGAAACTATGATACCCATTAAATCAAAAGGCAATAACCGTCCTAGATTAGCGTTATGCTTCCACTCAAATGTGTTTGTGGCTCATTCCGCGCACGTCCGTCCACATTCGTCCGTCTCTCCTGCTTGTCGTTGCCTTCTCCTTTCCATTGCAGTGGACATTACATGTTGGTAATGCTCGTGAACCTTCCGCACTCTTTCTTCTCTGATAATCTGTCGCGACGAAATGAATAGGTTTGGGTTACTTATCCATGCTCACATCTACTGGTGAAATCGATTGTCACTTGTAAATGTGAACTAAGGATTGTTAGGTGTACCA